CTGCTATCCTATTCCGCCTCACCTGCTATCCTCTTCCGCCTCACCTGCTATACTCTTCTGCCTTGCCTGCTATCATCTTCCGCCTCACCTGCTATCCTATTCCGCCTCACCTGTGAGGCGCCCCGCACCGTTCGGGAATCACTGAAACCAACGTTTCTCAACGGGTGAGTCGGGGCTCTCTAATGCACCCCAAGGGAACAGAAGAGTAATTTATGTATTGATTTTATATTTAAAAAAGCATTTTATTTTTAAAATACTAGAGACACCAAGTCCATGTCTAAATCAAGTTTTTTGTCATTTGATATTTGAAATTGAATTCTAAATTCATTAATCTTTAAGGAAGAATGGATAATCCTTTCCCTTTAACCTTCTTCAAGGGATTTAAATCAATCTTTATCGGTCTCTCTAAAAAATAGAAGATTCTTCATAAATCCCTTTACATGAAAACTATACCTAGTAAATATACAATGCAATGTCTTAGTTAATATAATGCCATGTATTTCTTTTATTTCTGGTTTTCATATCCGCCTTATCAATGCACTTAATTAATTGGTAAACATTAATGACCCAGAATAAACAATGTATAATGAATGTCCCAATTCATAATTTAGTTAAGTAGATATCAAACGAATGACTCCACTCTAGTGCAACGTTTTTCAACCCCTCGGGCGTACTAAGGGGTCCTAAAAGGTAGCCAGATGCGCCCCAGTTAACCGAAGAGTAATTCACTAATTATTTTGATATTTAAAAACCTTTATTTTTAAAAATCTAGAGACACCAGACTCGTGCCTTCCATGTCTAATCAAGTCTTTGTCACTTGATATTTCAAACTAGATACTAAACTGTTTAATCTTTAAGAAGGAAATAATCATTTAGCTTTTGCATTTCTCAAAGGATTTAAATCCTTTGAGAAATGCAAAAGCTAAATGATTATCTCATTCAATCGTTATCGGTCTCAAAAAAATAGCTGATTATTCATAAATCCCTTTACATGAAAACTCTACAGCTTAATTATACGATGTAATGTCTTAAAAGTAAATGCTTATTTCAGGAGACTTCTTTATCATTTTCCTATTTTCCTTATTAAAATTTAAAATGCCCCTCGGAGTTTTAGTTATTCTACAAGTGCGCCAGACGCAAAGAAGGTTGAGTAACATTGGTTTAAACTAACATCAGTATCAGATGGTTAAAACATTTCTTCTTTAATTTTTTTTTTACTGTAGTAACGTATGCAAATTAGAGAGACAAGTATAAATAGAGAACAAGTGACGAACATAGGGACTAAGCCTAGCAAACCCGGTTGCTATTCAAGGCACGGAGAACTGTACTACGACTACTATTACGCAGAGAGATAGCAAAACATAACACTTATCATTTCGTATTCTCCTTCCTCAAATTTATATTTTAATTGCTAATTGTATTGTGACCAAACCTTTGGTCCACGACAGATTCGACGAACAATCAATCGACCCAACGAGGTTTGTTTTACGAAGATGAACTTGTCGGTGTTGGCCGTAACTGCCATGGTCGGGGAATGCTCACAAACCTGGGGAAGATTCCCTCGGATGTCCTAAAGATAACAGTATGATAAAAGAAGCCATCATTGTTTCAGTGGCACTTCCGAAAAGCGTCTGTTTTGTGTGACACCGCAGATCGACGAGGCAACCAACGGAGGCTCTCTACAGTCTGACGATCACTCAAGCAGGGTAATCTCTGAAATCTTATTTTACATAAGTTGTCATAATGCCTAAATAATAACCCACTTGTTCTTTGTTCGATCTGCTACATTGCCGATTTAAAAATTTAAATAGTAGGTTTCAGTCCAGTTACTAATAATGTCATTTAACTAATTATCATCATCAGACCGTAATTGGGGATTATCGAGCTTTGCTTAGCTGTATAGCATTTACTACATCAAGGGTTACTTTCTCCTAGACAGGTTGACATCGTATTAGTACATAAGTGAACGCAATGGATCAGAATGGAATTCGACCTCGGCTTTCCGATTCCTCAATCCGAGCCGCTATCCATTACTCCATTGTGCCTCTAACGTATAGTCCAGTTAAGTAAGTGCCAAGTATGTAATAAATCTAAGCACATTCAGCCACAGTGTTGCAATATTAAATGTATTTTCTTTTACTATTTTAACGAATGCGTCATTCTGAGCCAATTCCAGGATGATATGGTTCAAGTCATTTTCAATCTATGACCTGTTAATGGTTTGTTCACAAATCTGATGCAGCCTGTACGTTTTTAGTTCAACTCAGAATGGACATTGTCGACACCGGATGTGCTAGCCATGTAGCTATAATAATGAAAACGCTAAATGATTTGTATTGAAAAATAACAAAACATTTATTTCCGAAATCTAATATGAATATGCAAAAATGTAATGTGAAACCGTGACAGCTGCTGTCAAAATGTTTGTTTAGTTTTTCTCAATTATTAATTTAAGAGTTTTCTTAACGTGTGGGCAGAGAACGATAAAGCCGAAGGAACGAATGAAAAAAAAAAGGATAGAAGAAAAGAGCAGAAAGAAGGAAGAAAGAAAGGAAAGAGAATGAAAGAAAATCAAATAACAAACAAAAAAGGACAGGTTACGAAGAAGAAATGTGAGACCCTCAGGAAACAAGAATGAAATGGGAACGCAATGAAGAACAAAGAAAGAAAGGCAGAAAGAAAGAAAGCGTAAATAGCAGATGAGGAAAAAGTTTTAAAAAATAAAGAGGGGAAAAAAAAAGAAACGCTAAAGAAGAACGTGAAGGGAAAAAAGCAAAAAAGGAAAGGAAGAAAAATGAAAATAAAGAAAATAACGTAAAGATGAAGAGGAAGAAAAAGAAGAAAAGAAAAGGAAGATAAAAAGAATGAAAAGAACAAACCTAGTTCCAATTTCAATTAGGTTCATTATATTGACATCCACGCAAATACCCCTGGGAAAGGTATGAATCCACCTCTTATTCCCCATCTATGAGTTAATTAGTAAAACTTGTATCACTAAAGCCATTATTATTGTTACATACCGTACCCATGGACACTAATGTGTATGTCACAATCCTCATAAATAAGTCAAGAATTGTTTGTAATATAATTGAATAATAATTTCATTAAATGATTGCAACTTAGGATTTTGACCAGAAAATTTTTTTGCTTTAATTTTACTCAAGTATTAGTATACAAGTTTCTTAACAAAAATATATATATATTTTAATGGAATTAAACTAGTAGAATTGATAGAATACTTTAGGAACACATTTTGTTTGAATTTACATTTTCTTTCCTTGTTTAGTTATTCATGCTACACAGACCTCTGATATTAATAAGCATGTCATGTAGAACTAGAACAATCTACCCCAGTTTGGTTGGAAATTACAACGTATATCATTTGACGAAGGCCGTTACACAAAAAAGCCGAAACGTCGTGAATATGAAAATAAAATGAGGAACAATATAAATCCACCATCTCAGAAATATCTGACACTCGTCGTAAAATATATTAAAATGCACAGATCATGTAATATACTTGAGAATAAAATAAACAAACGTTGTCTGTTTTAATTCAAATTGAAAAAACATAAAGCTGAGACCTTTGCTACCAGTTTTAAATGATTACCTCTGTCTTATAATAGTTGTTACAATTTGGGTATAAAATGTGTATGAAAATGTAACAATTATTATGGGACAGAGGTAAGAATAAAAATCTGACCAATCATGCGACAGAACAAAAACAAAGCAGGTTACATTTTTTTTTAACCAATCACAATTCTTTAATAACATAACGATCAAAAATATTTCGTTAGTTAATTAAAGAGGTCCGTTTAAACCAGTGAAATTCTGTTAAGTGAAAATTTCTATTTTATCAGAGTCAAGTAGTGTAGTCAACTGTTTTCACACACGCGCCTGCGCGCGCGCACACACATACACACACATTTATATAGGCTGATGCTATGCTGTTGGTTGGTCGCTCATAACCGAGTATGTCTGTCTTCTCGGGCAGATAGCCTATCGTTATTGCAAACGCCTTACTCAGGTACACTTTATTCAACACCCACAGAGCCCACCTGTGGTTTATACTGCAACTATGCGAACCTTAGTTAGAGTTTCTGGGGGAAATCGCATTATCTGGCGTGATCAACAGTCTGAACAAGACCAATACGCTTAAATAACCCGGTCTCGATAATTTGTGACATCGTACTAACACAACAGTCGACGGCTCTCACTTTACCCAATTTCACTCACATGGCTTGGGTCAACTAGTTTCAGGAACTTTCCAAAAGTGACGCGCTCATCGAGAAATCGAACGTGGGATTCGGGTCACTCCGTTGGAAAGTGAACGATCTTGCCACTCCGCAACGCGTCCATATCGAATGCTGTTAGAGAGGTAGACTCTTTACAAACTCAAATATCAAAACTAGCCTATTATTATATAAATTTTATTTATTGTTTTAAAATTCTACAGATTGTAACTATTAATGTGTGGCTCTATAAAACAAAAGTTATAACTGAGGCCTCAATGTTTTCAATAGAAAAAATATAAAGATATATATAAATGGTCAAAAAAGGTGTCATTTTAAAATGCCATCAGGAAGATATGGTCAAAACTATCTTCAAAATATTTCTTCAGATATTCATGGCACTTTTCGATCCTTTTTGTAATTTCCAACAACTGTTTTAGTTCTTGCAACGTCTGAATTTATAAAACAAAATTCAGAACTCCGACAAATCAACCTATGTCCAATTTTGTCGACAAAACTTGCAACTTAGTGATATATTTGAGACTTCAATTTTCTGCACAAATGGCTGCATCTGTTTACAAATGTGCATAAGGAACCGGCTATTGTCCTAACTTCGAAAGACGGAAGGAATCGACAGAGGGCAAATGAGGGTGAGGCCGAAGAGAGGCTGGGGGTATGTGGGGAATGAAGTAGAAAGGAAGATGTTGAAAGGAAGAAAGGGGCATAGGATATTAGGAAAGTATTAAAGGAGGGAAGAAAAAAGATAACGAGGGTGGAAAGGAAGGAAGGAAAGGAGGGGAAGGAAGGAAAGAAGGAAGGAAGGAAGGAGAGGAAGGAAGGAAGGAAAGAAGGAAAGGAGAGGAAGGAAGGAAAGAAGAGGAAGGAAGGAAGTAAAGCAGAGGGAAGGAAGGAAGGAAGGAAGGAAGGAAGGAAGGAAGGAAGGAAAAGGTGAGGAAGGAAGGAAGGAAGGAAGGAAGGAAAGGAGGGGAAGGAAGGAAAGAAGGAAGGAAGGAGAGGAAGGAAGGAAGGAAGGAAAGAAGAAAAGGAGAGGAAGGAAGGAAAGAAGAGGAAGGAAGGAAGTAAAGCAGAGGAAGGAAGGAAGGAAGGAAGGAAGGAAGGAAGGAAGGAAAGGTGAGAGGAAGGAAGGAAGGAAGGAGAGGAAGGAAGGAAAGAAGGAAAGGAGAGGAAGGAAGGAAAAGAAGGAGAGGAAAGAAGGAAGGAAGGAAAGCAGAGGAAGGAAGGAAGGAAGGAAGGAAGGAAGGAAAGGAGAGGAAGGAAGGAAGGAAGGAAGGAAAGGAGGGGGGGAAGGAAGGAAAGAAGGAAGGAAGGAGAGGAAGGAAGGAAGGAAAGAAGGAAAGGAGAGGAAGGAAGGAAAGACGAGGAAGGAAGCAAAGAAGCAGAGGAAGGAAGGAAGGAAGGAAGGAAGGAAGGAAGGAAGGAAGGAAGGAAGGAAAGGAGAGGAAGGAAGGAAGGAAGGAAGAGGAAGGAAGGAAGGAAGGAAGGAGGAAGGAAGGAAGGAAGGAAGGAAGGAAAAGGAGAGGAAGGAAGGAAAGAAGGAGAGGAAAGAAGGAAGGAAGGAAAGCAGTGGAAGGAAGGAAGGAAGGAAGGAAAGGAAACGAAGGAAGGAAGGAAGGAAAGGAGAGGAAGGAAGGAAAGAAGGAGATGAAGGAAGGAAGGAAAGGAGAGGAAGGAAGGAAGGAAGGGGGAGGAAGGCAGGAAGGAAACAAGAGAATAAGGTAGAGAGGAAGAGTTTGAAAGGAGAAAAGGGACAGAGACTATAAGGAAAGTGGGGAAGGAAGAAAGAAGGAAAAAGATAGGGAGGGAAGGAAGAAACTAAGGAAGAATGGGAAGGAAAAGAGAAAGGAAGGAAGGAAGGAAGGAAGGAAGGAAGGAAGGAAAAGAAAGAAAAGAAAAGAAGGAAAGAAGAGAATGAGCCAGAGATAAAGATTTTGAAAGGAAGAAAAAGAGCCTATAATTAAAGATTGAAAGTAGGAAAGAAGGAAAAAGATAACGAGGGAGGGATGGAAGAAAATCAGGAAGGATGCAAGAAAAGGAGACGAAGTAAAAAAAGGAAAGGAAGAAAGGAAGGAAGAAAGGAAGAGAATGAGGTACAGAGGTGGAGTTTGAAAGGAGCAAACAGACAGAGGCTATAGGGAAAGACCTTTTCGTATGAGGATACTTCAAAGATAAATTCTACGCTACAAAGCCAGCAACAATCGCTGAAATGAAAGTTTCCATAGAGCAAGAATACAGCCAAATACATATCGAAATATTGATTGCTGTTTGTGATTTCATTGGTTGTTGTCGCGTTGTCAGCAATGTCTGGATCGTAACCGACATCATTTCGAAAATAGGCAATGACAAAATCTTAAGAGCATTCATATATATTACATACTGTCTTCATATGCATTAATTAAATTAGATAGATTAGTTTCTTCTCGTTTGAATTATTTAGTGAGAAATCCTCAAAATGTGACGACATTATTTGAGACAGTATATATATATATATATATATATATATATATATATATATATATATATATATATATAATTTTGGTAAGATTATTCTAATCTCGAATTGGTTTCTTTTAGCACAAGTGGAAATGTGTAAAATCTGTTGTTGAGATTCGTATACTTCCGATAATCATCGATCATTTTCCAGAAAAAATAGATTAAAATTTCAGAAAGAACCGTTGTGGTGTTTAAATAACTGTTCTTTAAAGTATGAAGTGAATTTGCTTCACTTGGCATGACGATGAAATAGGATTTTGCATCGAATTGTAAATGTGACTTTACAGTCTAATTTCAGTAAGTACATTTACACGCAGAACAATGCTCACTAAACAATAACTACATACAAACCAATATCATATACCAAGCTACCATAAGACTCCAAGAAAAACCAGTAGGATATATCAGAATAATAGAGATTCCCTGGAAACAGAGAAAATAGTCATCCAAATATTCATTTAACAAACATTATGCACATAGTACAACACTTTCAAAATTCACATGTTACCGCAAAGGCAGAAGCCAAAACACAACAAAAAATGGGCAATGAACTGAAAACAACGCCAGCTTACAATCCTCAAAACAAAATAACCTTATCCTAAAGGAGAAAATAACAATAACCACTTTTGCATAACAATATAAACTCCTAAATAAAACAGAACACATTTCTAAATGCAGACACAAAAAGAAATTCCTATTAAGATCCTAAAATCACATCACGGCTCCAAAGTAAATAACTACTATAAACCTATAAGCTAAAACTAATCTTTCTTTAAGGTCAATTACCAAACTTTAGATCTGAATAAAAAATAAATAATAAAAAATATAAATAAATGAAATAAAAGCGTGAAAAAAACATCACAAGTGACTCTCTCCTTGTCTCTCTCTCTCTCTCTCTCTATATATATATATATATATATATATATATATATATATATATATACACACACACACACACACACACATATATATATATATATATATATATATATATATATATATATATATATAAGGAGCCTACAAAGAGGACTGCACATCGTCTGATTGTATGAAGTTCCCAATCACCATGCAGTGTTGATTTCTATGTTCACATTAAAATCTTTTTCTATACTTTGATAAATTTGCATAAACTAGAACAAAGGAGGATGAAAGATCCAGGAAAAACCTGTTTATTCTAATATATATATATATATATATATATATATATATATATATATATATATATATATATATATATACATATATGTATCTTGATGATGTAAATGCAATAGTAGAACATTGAGCTATTTAACAGTAGCTCAGATTATTGCTACTTACCGTAAACTGCGGCGTACAAGTCAAGTTTTCGAGCCTAAACTAAACCAAAACTAGGGATCGACGTATATAGCGAGTATAAAATGGAAATCTTTACCACCGAGTTGTAAACAAATGGAACGGCACGCTTAACAATTACTGTACATCTCTTATCATACCTCCAGCAGGCTGCCGCAAATATATCCCACTAAAACTTGTAATTGGTGAACATATTTGCCATATTAACACGGAAAGTAATATAAGATAATAAATTTGCAACACAAACTCAGTATTCTGCTAACGCTATAACACATAACACGCCCAACAGCTGATACACTAAGTGTAAATACAGACTGAAGAGAAGTTTAACTCAAGACGACGAGATTTGATATAACGCGTGATACGTAGCAGTAATATCAAAAACCTACCCGGTGTGATGTGTAATCTACGGTATTAATATTTTATAGGAGTTGATGTTAATTTTAATGTGTTTATCGGTAGATCTGACGAATTGTAATGTTCCCTAAGTCATACCGATACAATATACGGTACCTATTGGTGTGTGTTGTAGGTTGTTTTCTATGCCTAACTTCATTTACCTGTATGCCTAACTTTTGGGGCACAGTCTACTGTATGTTAAGGGGACTCGACTTATACAGTGCGTATCGGCCTTAACTCAAAATTCTGAGCTAATAATTTTGAGGTCAATTTTTACCCCAGATCCACTTGTATGCCGCAATTTAATGTTCTTTTAAGAAACAGTTCCTATACAAATTAATGCAAAAAATTAAAACCATTTACTTCTTAACACTACCTACGAGTGAAGACATTATCGACCAATGAGGTGTTCGGGACTACTTTTGATACGCATTGATTCATATGCTGATTATGGTGACACTGTGTCTGGCTCAGGGTAATACAAAGTAAAAGTTCTGGAAAAAAAAGATTAAGAAGAAAACTCTTTTTCTGGATCATTTTCCAAGAATCAGTAGAATGGAATTTGAAACCAGCTATAGTTTGACAAAAATTGTGAGCCTGCCGACGAACCTTATAAGTAAGGTCCCCGATCAGTTAAAATGACTGTGCCTTCACGCCTCGGTAGAATGGATAGTCAAGACATATGGAATCAAGCAGACCAGTTAAAAATTTTCATTTTGAAAAGAAGGGGAATCCGTGATACCACGTGACCAGTCAACGACTCCAGGTGAAATACGAAAAACGCAGACAATTTTGGACATTTGAAACAAACCCACCAAGTTCTTTTTTTCTCAATAATACATTCATTGTTAACATAAATGTACAACGCTTACCTCTTACACGTTTTACATGGCGGCTTTTGCTTCATCATTCGTAATTCAACAACTGACGGTTCCACTTACTTTGTTAACTTCGGACAGGTCAGAACATTAACAACAATTCGTGAACTTTTGAGGTCTTCTACCAATGATGATTTTAAAGGTTTATCAACTAATCTACGTCCCCATTTTATCACGAATATTTTAATCAACATCTTATTTTTTATTAGGTACCCAAACGAATATTTTGGGTAAGCCTTTACACCAATAATTCCCTACGTGGGGCGCATGCCTCACCGGTGGGGCATCGTAATATTTTGGTGGGGCATGCTTAGGATGCGAACCCTTCGGCTTACTATACCAACAGAATAAGGGGGCAATTCGAGAATGAGTTATTAACAGTGAATTGTTTTCTATTGAAAATGAGTGTTAATGTTAATGAGTGCTAATACATACGATGCATAGACAGTATGCATACATAAAATATTTTGTGTGTATGTAAGTACATGTGTAATTGGCATACATGTAAGAATTAAATATTATAGGGGGGGGCACCAGAATTTTAAAAATACCAAAGTGGGCCATGGCCCAAAATTGGTTAGGAAACTGCTTTACACGTTTATTTTATTTTCACATAAATTATTGTAAATAATATAAATAAATAATTTCTGATTCAGTTTCACATTGAGTGAGAGTTATGTTCTTTTTTCATCATGGGCCTCAGAAAGGAAACTACAGAAACTCCTAAAGAGAAGGTTATAAAGGAAAGCAAGAAGAAAGGACTAAACATCGATTGTAAGAAAACAGAATGCATGGTTGTCAGAAAAAGAAAAAGCCCAAGATGCGAACTGCGAACTGGCGATACCAAAATCAAGCAAGTACAAACATTTGAATATCTAGGAAGTGCGACACTGAGATACGAAGGGACATTGGAATAGGTAAAAAATGCCTTCCAAAAGCTCAGCAAAATATTAAGAAACAGGAAAAAACATCGTTCGAAACACAGAAAAGAGTACTGAACTTTTATGTAATATCAGTCCTCCTATATGACAGTGATTGCTGCGCAAGTAGGGATGTGAGGCAACAGAAATGTGGTTCAACTGAAGGACGGAACATATGAGGAAAGAGGGCTTAGAAAAATTGACACTCACAGGACATATAGAAGGCAAGAGGAAAAGAGGAAAGCAGTGAATAACCTACCTAACAAGCTTGTGTAAATAAGTGTCAGAAATGGAATAGATAGTAAAAAGAAAATCTTTACTACAATGGACAGGAAGTTGTGGAGAGCCATGATCGGCTACATCTAGAAAAGCTACGACACATAGAAGAGTCAGCTTTAAAGCACCAAATGTTATAATTAACGAAAATAAAAAAAAAATAGTCTGAATTCTTTTTTTCTACCAATACATGATATATTGAAAAAAACAAAGCCCCTCTGTTTACTAGATGCTTTTTTTTTCGAAGGATACGGTAGAAAATAGATGCTTGGTGGTCAAATTCCTCTAAACAGTGTATATACTACCTCGTCTAATTAATTCTTCGCTTCTAACGTAAAAGGGAGATTACTGAATCGGTCGAATTCCAAACGCATGACCTAATAATCTGACAGTCGCGGAGATTAGGTTTAGTTCTAAAGCTTCAATAAACAAAACAAGTGAACAAAGTGAGTTTATATAGACAAATTCTTAATGCTGTTTTAAGACCGAGAGAAAGTGAACACCAACAACGAACAATTGCAAGCGATTACGCCGAACGAGATGCGAAGCGTAATCTCGTTTATTGCGTACAAGATGGCCGCCTATGTTTTTACAAATGGAAAAAGAGCGTCCGTGATGTTTAGAGTGACATCTGAACTATTAAATACTGGCTAAGTTATTAAAATGTGTGAATTTAGGTGTAATCGGATTAAATTGAATTCCGACTGATGCCGCGTTCTTATTCTGTTTTCGTGTAAGGAAAGAGACGCGTAGTTACATGGGAATAGGATGTTCGGTGTAGTGATATTACGCACTGGCTTTAGCTTACAAAAATTTCGAATCGAGAAGAGTTCGATTTCTTTTATCTATTTTTACTTGCTTAGAAACAACACGGGCATATTTTAGCAATGAATTTACCGGGCATTTTATAAATACGACATATTGCGGTTTTTTCCTACGCGAGGTCAAACGCAGCGCAAAGAAGCTGTTTTGGGTAAAACTACCAAGAACGACATAGACTGCCGTATATATATATATATATATATATATATATATATATATATATATATAGAGAGAGAGAGAGAGAGAGAGAGAGAGCGACAAGGAGAGAGACAGGGATGAACATTTATATTAGCGGAATAATTTAGCCTGTCTTTAATGACCCAATTTATAAAAAATAATTATTACTTATCATAATAATTGTGATTGTCAGTTTGTCAGTTCGCACGGCCGTTACGCCCTGCTAATACCTGTAAATAATGGACTATTTCGTTTTTGATCGTGTGAAAAGACAAAAGACATAGCAAAATTGCTACTTGATTTCAGTGAAAAAAGAAAACAAGACGTTTAACGTCTACTGGTAATGCCTAAACATAATGGATTATTTCGTTTTTGATAGTGTGAAAGGGAAAAATATCAAAGACGCTACTTGGTTTGAGTGAAAAAAAAATGAAAGAAGGGAAGACAGACGTTAAACACGTAGAAAGAAATGGCAACCTAATGCTGGAAAAAATCTGCCTCGTCAGTCATGTATCGAAAGATACATGATCGCCTAAGCGTGTATCACGCATGGCACATAACTGACTGACTGACATCCATTATAATTCATTTTTGATTAGGATTTACTTCCATCTTCATATTTTGTTAGATGAAGTATTGTCAGCCATTATTATTAATTTGTTGGACAGAAATTTTTTCAGCCCCCTATCACATCATTTTTTTTTCCTTTTCTTTTATTTTAGATTTTTTCATACCGACTTCTTTGTTGGGCAGAGAATTTTTCCGCAACTTATCACATCAAACTTCGTTTTCCTTTTCTTTTTTATTTGGAAGGACTTCTTGATTCGGCCGAGAAATTTTCAGTATACTCTTGAAAGAAATATATCCTGAAGGCTAACTTCTCATTCGCTAATTAGGATTTATGTAATATACAGTACGTGTATGTGTGTATCTGTGTTTGATTGTGATCTGACGCACATAATTTTATAGATGTATATGTGTGCGTGTATATTTGCCTGTGGGGTCACTCAAGCTGTACTGAGTTCATAATCAATGGTTTCTAAAGCAGGCGCTTTTAAATCGGTAATAATAACACGGTGGCCCGAAGATACAATGTCAGTTGGGTAGACGCAGTGTAGTACGACATCGAAGCTGTAACAATTTCTGCAGAGTCAGCAAAAAGACGTGATGTCTGGCGATGTCCAGATGGGAAATGATATTATTTCCGATTAGCCAATTTCCGACACTTTTCATAGATTCTTGCCTTTAATCGGCCCATTTTTTCTGAATTCAATGCCCGATTTTGCAGAAAGTGCTCGTAATACAATATGAGGTGCGATAGAAAAGTATCCGACTTTATTTTTCCCGCCAAAACTAAAGTCGCATGCTCAAAATTCTGTAGTTGGGAGGTGATACCACCTTTCCTGCGCACGTGTGAAAATTTTTGCGCCGGGTCCCGGCTGTAACGCCTAGAGTACAGCGCTCTCGTTGCATTTTCGTTCTCACGCAAGATGGCCGAACGCATCGAGTAGAGATATTGCATCAAATTTTGCCAAATTCTTGTTGATACTCAAGCTCGCCCCAATCCAGAAGACTCGGCAAGCCTTTGGTGATGATGTTATAGGAAAACTGAGATCAAGGAGTCGTACAACTGCTTCAGACATGGCCGCACCTCAATGGATAGCGAGTCATGCTCAGGTAGGCCACCCACAAAGCGAAACGAGCCGATTGAAAAGGTTCAGTGAATAGTTATGAAATACTGCCGTGTAACAATTCAAGAAACTGCTCACGAAGTGGGAATATGCACAAGAACAGTACATTACATTTTAATGCAGGATTTGTGCATGCGGACAGTGTCGGCGAAATGCGATCGCTCATTCCACCCGTTCATTTTGCTCGCTCATTCCGCTCGTTCATTCCGCCTGCTCATTCCCATCACTCATTCCGCCACTCATTCTATTTCGCTCGCTCATACCACCCACTCATTCCATCCGATCATTCCACCCGCTCATTCCGCTACCTCATTCCGCCCACTCATTCCGGCGTTCATTACGCTAGCTCATTCTGCTCGCTCATTCCGCCCACTCATTCCGCCCGCTCATTCCGCTAGCTCATTCCGCCTGCTGATTCCGCTAGCTCATTCGCCCGCTCATTCCACCCGCTCATTCCACCCGCTCATTCCGCCCACTCATTCCGCCCGCTCATTCCACCTGCTCATTCCGCCCACTCATTCCGCCTGCTCATTCCGCTAGCTCATTCTGCCTGCTGATTCCGCCCGCTCATTCCACCCGCTCATTCCACCCGCTCATTCCGCCCACTCATTCCGCCCGCTCATTCCGCCAGCTCATTCCGCCTGCTGATTCCGCTCCACCTGCTCATTCCGCCCGCTCATTCCACCTGCTTATTCCACCTGCTCATTCCACCCGCTCATTCCGCCCCTCATTCCGCCCGCTCATTCCACCCGCTCATTCCGCCCACTCATTCCGCCCGCTCATTCCGCTAGCTCATTCCGCCAGCTGATTCCGCCCGCTCATTCCACCCGCTCATTCCACCCGCTCATTCCGCCCCTCATTCCGCCCGCTCATTCCGCTAGCTCATTCTGCCTGCTGATTCCGCTAGCTCATTCCGCCTGCTCATTCCACCCGCTCATTCCACCGCTCCCGCTCATTCCGCCCACTCATTCCGCCCGCTCATTCCACCCGCTCATTCCGCCCACTCATTCCGCCCGCTCATTCCGCTAGCTCATTCCGCCTGCTGATTCCGCCCGCTCATTCCACCCGCTCATTCCACCCGCTCATTCCGCCCACTCATTCCGCCCGCTCATTCCACCCGCTCATTCCGCCCGCTCATTCCACCCGCTCATTCCGCTCGCTCATTCCGCCCTCATCACCCATGCTTTCCTAGTGAAGAACAACGAGATTGATAAACGTTTCCTATTCGTTCTTTATCTTATAATAAAATCTTATATTAGGTAATTTGGTCAGATTTTGTGCAGTGCGCCAGGCTGGGATCTTTTCAGTATCTCCTTGTATTGAGTGAGGCTTTTGATAAAAATCACTTAAAAAAATAAAACGGAAAAATCAATATCAATTAAAAATTAATAATGATTTTTATGTACCGTTTAAATATGAGTACTGCCTTCATGAGGAACAAAAATAAAGATACCTATGTGTTATATAAATCTTTTATTGTTACGGGACCTTATCCATAATAACATAATGGATCATTCCATACGTAATAAATACTGCTCCTCAAGAGGAAGCAGGGAGTTCAGTCTGAAGTCTGGAGTGAAATCCGTCAGGAGTTTGTCAGTCAGTCAGAGCAAGCGAGTTAGTCAGTCGAGTCAGAGGCAGTCCGAAACAGAGTCGTGTTTAGACAATTACTACTAAACCTGATTGTTCGTACTAACACTTTCTACTTCTCTGTATATATTCCTGTTTGTAATATATATTCCATATCCGTGTTCGAGTTCTTCTTTATTGGTTCTACCTTGGACTATCACCATGGTACAAGGATCCGGACCATAACATTTATAGTCAGTTACCATTCCAATTGCACTTTATATGAAGCATTACCTTTTTTGGGTGCATACTAGCTTTTAGAATGCTTAAAGCGAGGCGATTCTGAGAGAACTAGAAGATTCATTATTAGTAGCCACAATCTTAATAACATAAGTTGTGCAGATGGTGTATTGTTGATAGAAGACAGAAAAAAGCTAGAAAAACTCCTACAGAAAGTAGTGAAGGAAAGCGAGAAGAACATCGGCTGCAAGAAGAAAGGATTAAACATCAACTGCACGAAGGCATAATGCACGGGTGCTAGCCAAAGGATGAGCCCAAAGTACGAATTGCAAATCGATGGTAACAAAATCAAACAAGTGAGACCTGTAGGCGTATTGGGATAGCCAAGGAAGCATTCCTAAAGCTAAGTATTGCATACACCCACCAACTCTCCAGTGGGGTGGTCTTGGGTCACGGCATCAATTTGATAATAAAGTTGCATTCTTTTCTCGCGGCCGGTGGTCGCTTGTTGTTTTGAGTCCAGAGATAAAAGAACTTCAACACAGAGAATTTTAATTTAACTGTTTATTAATCACGTTGACGTGTACATTTCTAACTATCCAGTGGGATCGTTCTCCCTCTACTGAAGAGCCGGTTTCAGACAAGAAAGAAAAAAACATCTATATTGTTTGGCGTTTAAGAAACAACTCACTGAAAACCCTTTCTCTATACCTATCATTCCCACGCTGGCTCAGCCAATCAAAATCGAATTCCTTGTTTTGTCTTCCATCTGACCTTGAAGGTCAACCCCAGTAAGTGGTAAGATATACTACAAAATAATAGTCTGCTAAACTATTATTTAACCTAAGAAGAGTACAAAGAAATAGGAAAAAATCGCGAGAAACATGGAAAAGAGTACTAAACTGCTATGTGATATCAGTCCTTCTGTATGGCAGTGAGTGCTGGACGATCTCCTCAATGATGAAGAGGAAACATGAAGCAACAGAAATATGGATCTACAGAAGGATTCTGAGGATACAATGGAGGAAAATTTGGAGGTGGGAAAATGGAAACAAAAGGGAAACTAATACTTAACATCAGGAAGAAAAAGTTAAGGTTTATAGGACATATAATGAGGAAGGAGGGCTTGGAAAATCTGATATTCACATGGCTGATTGAAGGCAAGAGGGACAGAGATAAACAACGCATGGCAACTTAGTGAGCTTGAGCAAAAGGATGGCGAAACAGAGCTTAGTAGAAATAACAGAGAGACAAAGTTTATTAAGAGCTACGAGGGAGAGGAAATTATGGAGAGCCATGATCGCCTACATCCTGAAGAGACAAAGCACATAAACTAAAAGAAAGAACAGTGGCTCATTTCATTTTCTCCCAGGAGAATCCATTGTTCGTGACCTGGGATCGTTCTTTGGAAAAATGGATCGTTTTGCTGCATTTGAACAGAGAATAACAGATGGAAATGTGATTCCGTTAATTTTTTCCCGTTAAACCACGAGGTACCTAAATAAACGAGGTACCTAAATAAACGAGGTACCTAAATAAACGAGGTACCTAAATATTGTAGCTATTGACGTATCCGAATGTTTTCAAATATGTGGCGTATCTTTGAGATGACTACAGAAAAGAACTTTCTAGTTCTTTAGCAGAATGACGCTTTTAAACGTAGCGAGCCACTTACGAATAATGGTGTCAGCTAAAGCACCATATATTTCTTTCTTTTTTTTTTTTTTTGTTTGTACGGCGTTTTTTGCTTTTTTTTTTGGCTGTCCATTCCGGAAATAAAAGGCGTCTTACTTTAAACATAAATTAAATTCAAAACCCGCACACGAACCGTACAGAAAGATGCGATAAAATGTCACATTTCACAAAATGAGTGTCATAAATTTCAATCACGTGTGAAACGAAATAACACGTTCAATGAAGGAGATTTTCAAAATGTGTATTTTTTTCAACAAAGATCGTTAAGAACATTTTTCCACAGGTAATATACATATATACTTCTATTCTTATCAGTTTAAACCTTATTTTCACATGGATACTCGTATTTAAGAAACGCTCCGTTTAATTAATAAACAATATATTTATTTATTTTTATTTACCAGTCTGAATGTTCTAGAAATTTGTTTTATAGGAATAAAGTGTCACTGCCAGCACTGGAGTTTGAACACAGATCACCAGAGAGCAAACACAGGCGATCCCATTTTGAATAAGTAGATCACGTGATGGAAAAGAAAATGTATATATGGGAATTAGCGTTGCGTCTCAGTGATCACTCTGAGAATTATTTCGGAGGTGTCCTTGTCGAACTCTTTGCCTCTGTGTAGAGACGAGCCCAGACGAGGCTGTGCCAAAGGGAAGAGTCTCGTCCGGTGTGGTAGACAGCTACCCGACTCCGTTTTTACGGGATCTACGGGGAATTTTTGCCCGAGTCTACGGGCTCGGATACCCACAATAAACTCGGCCTTGTGCCACATACGACCGCGTGGGGCGGTAGATGAATATCATCACTATCCGGATTACTTAGGAAGTGTGCTTGTCAATGTTTCTGCCTCCGGGCAGAGAGGTACCCAGACGAGGCTATGCCGAACGGCAGAGTCTCGTCTAGGGTGGCCGACAGCTACCCGACCCCGTTTTTACGCGGTCTAAGGGGAATTTTTTCCCCGGCCTACGGATTACTATTCGGATCAATATTCGGTGGTTACTTTTCGAGCGAGTATTATCGAGCAAGTACTATTAGTTAAAGTGATATTGCAAGGCGTCTGACACCAGTATTGTTGAACGGCTTTCCTATAGTTGTATCTGTGATTACAAAGTCTCTACTACAACGAGCATTACGAAAGTGACGACGAGTATTCATTGTCACTACAAAAGTGGCAACGAGTGTTCGTTGATATCACAAAAAAATCCTATTAAATAAACGCTCTTTAAGATTTCTCGAACATTCAAGCCGGTAGACGAAAATAAATATACTGTGACATATTTAAACGGGGCGTCTACTCAAATATGAGTATCCACTAAAAATAACTTTTAAAGCGATAAAAATCTATCTGATTAATAAAAATCCATTCTAAAACATATATTTACATGCATCTGTTTATATATATATATATATATATATATATATATATATATATATATATGATATCGTACATTGAGTGCTGATGTTGATAAAACAGTATTCGATGTAATAAGTATATTAAGTATATATTAATAAATATGCATATTATCCCTCATCGGTAGCACAACTTGGAGTTTCATGCTCAACGCAATCCTTAGGTGCTGGGTAGAGAGTGACCGTTACATATTTTAAATTTTAATAAACTATCTGGTTTACGCAATGGTGGCGCAATCCATATATTATACGGGGATTACGGGTTTTTATTTAAATTTGATACTAAAATGGGAAGCTATGACGGTTCATAGGCATGCGAATTCATATGTGTATATTTCCTACTACTTAACTAGAACATGTCAGATGGTATCCCCCAGACGAGTCTATGCTCGGGAAACAGATTCCGTTTTTACGTGGTCTATAGGGAAATTTTGCCCGTACCTATGGGCTCGGATACCCCAAATTCAAACTCGGCCATGTGCCACATCTTGCTGCGTGGGGAAGTGGGTAAATAATTATATTTGCTACACCGAACTAAGTAAAATAATCGATAGAAATGATACAGGACTCTACATAATCTTACGAAACTGTAAGAAAGAAAACACAGACAAAACTAGAAAAATAATCATAACGATTTTCAAAAATATGGGATTCGACATAGACATAAAAACTAACCTAAACATTTTCTAGATGTCACCGTCAGCCTAACAAAATCTACATATAAACTATACAGGAAACCGAATCATAAACCACTGTATATACACACATCTTTCAACCACTCGCCAACAGTAATAAAGGAAATACCACAACCAATTAAACGCAGGCTTTCCGACAATTCTTCCAATGAAACCATATTCAACGAAGCTAAGAAAGACTATGAAACACCCCTA